CAGGCAAAATACCCATGCACATAAAATCATTTAAAACAAATTGTGGGTTATTTATTTATTTATTTAAATTTACTTAACTTTATTTTATGTGCATTGATGTGAAGGTATCAGATCCCCTGGAACTGGAGTTATAGACAGTTGTAAGCTGCCATGTGGGTGCTGGGAATTGAACCCGGGTCCTTGAGAAGAACAGTCAGTGCTCTTAACCACTGAGCCATCTCTCCAGCCTGCCCCCCCCCACTTTTTTTTTGAGACAGGGTTTCTCTGTGTAGCCCTGGCTGTCCTGGAACTCACTCTGTAGACCAGGCTGTCCTGGAACTCACAGAGATCTGCCTGCCTCTGCCTCCTGAGTGCTGGGATTAAAGGCGTGCGTCACCACATGCTGCCAAGACTTATTTCTTATGTGCAGCTCGGCGTCAGATCCCCTGGAGCTGAAGCCACAGGTGACCGTGGGCTTTGTGATGGGTGCTGAGAACTGAGCCTTGGTTCTCTGGAAAGACAGCAAGGGTTCTTAACTGTCCAGTGCCTCCTCTGCCCCCCAACCAGACCACTTTTCACTGCTTAGGTCTCAGGTTGGTATTGAACTCACAGGCATTCTCCTGCCTCGGCCTCAGTGCTGAGACTGGAATGCCTGGGGGGAAACAGGCATCTGGTCTATATTCCTGTCTCTGGTTGGCTGTGGATATTTACACAAACCTAAACTCTGTGATCTGGCCGGTGCTTGTTTTGTTTGCTTGTGTCACACAGTGTGTGTTTCCTTGCACACTTTTTGAGGTACGTTGTGAGGCATCGTGTAGAGCTCCATCATCCTCTGCAGGTACAGGTTGGTTAGGCAGAGACTCCACTCACCTGCTGCTGTTTACAATCGACTCCTGTCTGCCACTGTAGCCACACAGCTTCCTGCACTCGTGTTCCTCTCCCAGAGGCCGAGGAGGCCCACTGCTGGGTCACAGGGTAGCTCCTCTTTTGGTTTTTGTTCTGTGTGCTTCTGTATTGTTGGAATCCTGCTACTCTTGTGATTTACAGAAAAAAAAAATCATAAAAAATAGAAAGAGGTAGGTAGAGTGTTGGCTCCTAAAAAGTGAGGGTGCCTGATGGTTGGCACGTGATCATTATGTAACCTGCTAATCATTATGTAACGAAGTCTGGATACCAAGCACAGAAGCCACAAGTCTTCATTTGTGTGAAGGATGAGAGATGTGCCTGTCTTGAGACCTTGGGTCTTTTCTGACAGGAAATGTCACATGTTTCCATCATCAGGGCTTCCCTCTTGGCTGTCACAGAACCACAGAGGTGGAAGGGACTTTCTCGAAGCCTCATGTGAAAATGCAAGCTTGTCACACTTGCTGAGAGGGCTTTTATTTTCTCTTCTTGTTTGGGGAATTAAGCCAGGGTCTCATGTAGCTCAGGCTGGCCTCAACTCACTATTAGGAAGGACGACCTTGAATTCCTGATTCTCCTGTCTCGACCTCCTGAGTTCTGAGATTACAGGCGTGCACCACCACTCCTGGCTTGGAAAGGTTTATTTTGATTTTTTAATCATGTGTGTGTGCCTGCCTTGTGAGTGCAGGTGCCCTCAGAGGTAAAGCCAGAACACAGTGTTGGATCCCTTGGAGTTGAAGGTTGTGAGGAGCCTGATGTGGGAGCTACAAACTGAACTTGGATCATCGGGAAATGCAGCACACTATCTTAACCTGAACTCATTGTGGAATTAGATCAAGCTTTCAGGCAAACCCTACTGGCTTTACTTTGCTGGTGTCACCCTGGTTCTAAGAGTGACTCCTACAATCAAAGGACACCAGTTGGATGGCTCCTGGTCAGACAGGCACAGAGCTCCTGGGGACTACAGATGGGAAGGAACGTGGGTCGTGGTGCAGACATCAGGCTGAATACATATGTGGCCTCCAGTGCCGAGAGCTGAGATACAGTTACAAAAGAGTGTTGTGAGGAGCCAGAAGAGAAAGGCTCTGGGTCCTTTAGCTGGAGAAATCAGAAGATTCCAGAAAGAAAGCAAGACTGAGTTGGGGCTGGACACTAGCCAGCAACACAGGGAAGGTAAGAGGTGCTGGGAAGGACATGCACAGCCAGGCAGCAGGGTGTGGAGAGCTGGGGTGTGTGTGTGTGTGTGTGTGTGTGTGTGTGTGTGTGTGTGTGTGTGTGTGTGTGTGTGTGAAGTGAAAAGGCAGGGTACAGCGGTGCACGCCTTTAATCCCAGCACTCAGGAGGCAGAGGCAGGTGGAGCTCTGTGAGTTCAAGACCAGCCTGGGCTACATACTGAGTTCCAGGACAGTCAGGCTACACATTGGGACTGCCTCAAAAAAAAAAAACAAAAATTGCAGCCAATTGAAAATATGATCCATGCCTTATGTATGTGTCTGGTACTTGGCAAACTCTAAGGATTCTGCAGCAAACCAAACTCCATCTCTCAAGTTAAAAAAAAAAATTCGTGTATAATCATTTTTTTTTTTTTTGCCTGAATGTATAACTGTGCACCACATGCAGTGCCCTCTCGGAGGCCAGAAGAGGGTGTCTAATTCCCTGAGACTGACATGTGGTTCTGGGGAACTGAACCCAGGTCCTTGAGCAGTCATCCCTTAAAGGTTGAGAGCCATCTCTCCAGCACAGCCCGCTTAAGTTCATCTCTCGGGGAGCTCCCAGTCACCTGGCAAACAGGAGTTTAGAGAGACCTCTGAGAAGTCAAGTGGCAAGCTGTCCGGACATGAGTCAAGACTGCAGGTCCCAAAGGACATGGGAGGATTGCTCTTGCCCCCATGGTTTCCATGGTTACATAACTGAGGGAAGAAGCCAGCTTCATTCAGGAGACAGAGGCAGGCTGAGCTCCACAATTTGAGAGTAGCCTGGCCTACAAGTGAGGTCCAGGCCAGAATACACAGTGAGCTCAGACTAGCCTGGGCTACCTGTCTCAAACAACTCCTTTAGGTCCTTAGTCTGTGCTCGATATGTTCTGAGCAATTTCTATGTAGTTCATTCTGACTACATCTCACTAGGCAGTCTGCTATTGCTATTATTATTATTATTGCTTTTAAGCTTTTAAAAGGTGTTATGATGAGGCTCAGAGAGGTTAAGAGCTTATTCAAGGCCACACTGCTAGTAATCAGTTAAGTCAACACTGGGAGTCTCCTCACTCTCCTTTTTCATTGTTGGGAACTGAACCCAGGGAGTACACACAGGCTAGGCAAGGGTTCTAGGACTGAACCACAGCCCCAGCCTTTTATTATTTTCTTTTTTTTAGACATGAGCTCGCTAAGTTATTCATGTTAGCCTTAAACTCACAATCCTCCTGACTCAGCCTTTGGAATAGTTGGGATTACAGAACCGCGCCGTTAGGTCCAATCTATGGGTTAATGGGAATAATGGATTCCCATTATTGTTATTATCACTTGTGACAGAGTTTCGCTATGTAGTGGTTTATTTTTATTTTATGTATGTGTTGCCTGCATCTATGCATGTGCACCACGTGCGTGACTGGTACCCGTGGAGGTCAAAGAGGGCATCAGATCCCCTGGAACTGGTGTTATGGATGGTTGTGAGCCTCCATGTGGGTTCTGGGGATCAAACCCGGGTCCTCTGAAAGCAATAAGTGCTTCTAAACGCTGAGCCCTCTCCTGAGTCCCCCACTCCCCCATCCCTGGATCCGCATCCCCGACCCCGGTCGCCAGTGGTAACACCCACGGTCCTCTCTCCAGTCTCGCCTGACCTCCGCCTAGGCTTTGGCTCTCTACCCTCCGCGGTTTCGTCTTTGAAATAGGATCGCGGGGTTCGACGTCAGTCGGGGCTCTCAAGCACCGTCTTGACCAGGGGAAAGCCGGTCAGGTGGAAAAACCAATCTCCCCACCGCTCTGGAACCCGTTTCCATGACAACTCGCCTAACCAGCGTCTGTGGGCGGAGCGCTGCGCGTCACTTCCAGTTCATTTGCTTCCGGGTTCCGCTTGTGCCTCCTCGACTGTCCTTAAGGGGTGAGGTCGGGTTCCGCGGAGAAGCGCTGACCCCCCGCATTTCCCCCTCCTTTCATCTCCCGCCTCCTCCTCTTTGCTCTCCGTCCTTCGTGTTCACCTGCTGGCCACCGGCTTCCGCCGCCCCTCCTCAGGCTCACCGCGCAGCCGCGACCCAGCCTCTTGAGGGCCCGCCTCAGCTGACGTCATTTCCGGTCCGAGTGCTTCCGGGCCGCCGCTAGCTCCCGTACTAGTCTCGGTCCCCGGAGCCGGCGAGAGCGGCGGGGCCGTGCGGGGATGTGCTCCGGCGGCGCTCGCTTCCCTCGCGGGCAGCGGCGGGTGAGTGCGGAGCAGGCGGGAGGGCGGGTCCCTGCGGGCGCGGTCGCTGGCCAGGCCCTCGGCTCCGTCCCCGCAGCCGCTATCTGCGGCCGGCCGCAGCACTGCTCCCGGGTGAGGCTGCACACGCGCCCCCCCTCGGGGGCAGGCACCGCGCCGTGGCCCGCAGTCGGGAGGGGAGGCGGACCTGGCTTCGGACTCACCGAGTGACCTTGCCCGAGTCGCTCCGCCTCGGGAGCCTCGGTCTCCGGGTCTGTGAGGAGGAACACGGCGGCCTTCCGGGGCTGCGGTGGGCGTGGAAGGAGAGGACGCAGGGTTTGCACGGTGCCGGGCTACAGCAGGTGTCCATTGACAGGTCCTAGCACTTCGTTGGTAGACGGAGGGGCGTTAGCGAGCGCTTGCCCAGAGTGTGCGGTGCCCTGGGTTCTGCCCCCGGTTCCCAGCACCACCGACCCTACGCGCCTGCCTTTGAGACCGGGGCGTTTTCCCCACCTGTGGCGAGCAGAGGCTGGCGGCTCCCCCAGCAGGGAGTAGCCGCCGCAGGTTTACGTCCCCTGCAGGGAAGGGGCATAGCTCCCTTCAGAACTCCCAAGAGAAGCCGCTGTGGGGAGGGCAACCATGTTCCAGAATAGCCCAAGTTGTTTTCAGAGCTTTGGAAGGCCCCGGTGACACTGTTTCTGGAGGCTGGTAGAGGTGCGGAGTTCCTGTAGTGTTCTACGGTCAGCAGGAGATGCCGCCGATGGGTCTGGGGACCTCTCGCTTTCAGTGAGGTACATAGAGGTTGGGTCAAGAGAAGAGAGGTGTAGTCGCATCTCTGATCGTATTTGGCGGCTGAAGCTGAACCGGGGTGTGTAAACATGTAGATTGGACCCAACAGGGGACCCAAATACCGTCTGCCAGTATAGGGAGGGAGTGCCTTTCAGGGCCGCCACGGGGCACATTCTGCTTGAATGGGCCAGCAGAGGTAAAGGTTGGAACCGATGCTCCACTTCCCAGGTTATTTGGTTTCCATTCAGCTGAACTTTAAACGCGTTGGGCTTTCCCCATTGGATGTTTAAAGAATAATTGTTGGTAAAGTCCCCCCTGCCTGTGCACTAGCTTCGCCTTCTCTGACTTGCTTTAACAAAGGGGTCCAGATTGTGGGTGCAGGAGATGCCACCCAGAGCCGACGGCACTAGGCATCCATCCTTCTGCTTCTGTGTTCCGGAGATTCACAGAGCTGTATTTTCCCCCTGCCAGCCTGGTATGGCTTGGCATTCCAGTCTTTGGGTTGCCTGGAGAAATTAACAGCTTCTGTCGCTGGGCTGTCTTGCTCCCTCCTGTAACCAGGCTGTGTTTGCAGAGAACGTGTTTTTTGTTGTTGTTGTGTTTTCCAGAGTGTTGGGAATAAATTGCTGGCTCTGTGCTCAGAAAAGACACCAGTTAGGGCCAGCCACAAGGCAGCCTGTATTCTTAGGAAATGTATTCAGCAGGGATGATGTAACTGCCTCACTGCTGGCTGGTCTCTGGCCAGCCTCTCTCCTGGGCCCTTAAGCTTACATCATAAAGAGGCTGGTGGCTCTCCCAGCCCATTTGGTGTGGGAAGATGGCAGTTTTGCTACTATGAGACTCGGATTCCTGGCTGCAGGGCATTTGACTGAGTGAACCTTTCAAGTAGCCCACACCAGAAGATTTGGTAAGATTTCAGATCTACTTCTTGGCTCAGTGACTTAGGACAAGTGAGTTGGCGCTCTGTGCTCAGTTTCCTCTTTAATATTGGGGTTGTCCTGTGCATCTTACTGATTTTTCTTTCTTTTCTTTTCTTTTTTTTCTTTTTTTGGTTTTTCGAGACAAGGTTTCTCTGTGTAGCTTTGCGCCTTTCCTGGAACTCACTCTGTAGCCCAGGCTGGCCTCGAACTCACAGAGATCCACCTGCCTCTGCCTCCCGAGTGCTGGGATTAAAGGTGTGTGCCACCCCCCTCAGCTCATCTTACTGACTTTTGAACAGCTGGCATAGGGACCTGCATATCCTGACCCCTTTGGGATTGATACCGATTATAGCCAGAGTGGACGAGAGCCAGTCCTCAGGACCTGTTGGCCCTTTTGGCTCTGCTGGAGATGTTGAGTGCATCTTGGCTTTCTCAGCTGCTGCTGTCAGGATGAAATGGGAGCTGTGATGGAAGTGGGGAGCTGTCTTACCACTCAGAACATAGTAGGTCCCTGTTCACTGTTTTTCTCACTCTCTTACTCTGCTGAGTGTGGTGTATTTGGGTCTTCACAATTGTGCGTGTATCTTTAGAGGAAGACAGAGGTTGCATGACGTTCTTTTATCTCTGCACTTTAAGACTTTTTTTTCATTCTTTATTTTTATTTATGTGTTTGGTTTCTTTTTTTTTTTTTTTCTTCATGCATGTTTATGGATCATGTGTGTGCCTTGGAGGCCCGAAGAGGGTGTCAGACCCCCTGGGATAGGAGTGACAGACTGTACTAAGCCCCCATATGGGTTCTGGGAATTAAATCCAGTTCCTCTGTAAAAGCAGCCAGGGCTCTTAACCACCGAGCCATCTCTCCAGCCTCCCTCCCTCACTAAAAAAAATATTTTTTTTTTTAATGTGTGTGAGCATTTTGCTTGAATGTATGTCAGTCCACATTCTGGGCATTCCAGGTGCCCACAGAGGTCAGGAGAGGGCGTCAGATCCCCTGGACTGGAATTATGCACAGTTGTGAGCCACCCTGCAGTGCTGGGAATCAAACACAGGTCCCGCAAGAGCAGGTGTTTTAACCACTGAGCCGTCACTCCAGCCACCACCACCTTCCTTCCTTCCTTCCTTCCTTCCTTCCTTCCTTCCTTCCTTCCTTCCTTCCTTCCTTCCTTCCTTTCTTTTCCAGTGCTGATATTAAAGAAATGCGCCAACATGTCCAGGTTTTTCTTTCACTTTTTGAGTCAGGGTTTCTCACTGAGTCTGGAGCTCCCCTGTTCTTACTAGGCTGGCTCTTCATCAGGCTCTCAGGATCCTCTTGTCTTTGCTCCCCAGTGCTGGCACCACAGTGTGCACAGTGCCCTGCTGAGTGCTGAAACTCAGTTCTTCATGCTTGCGTGGGAAGCACTGCTGAACCATCTCCATCTCCCTATCCCCTTTCTCTTTTCTTTTTTCTTTTTCTTTTTCTTTTTCTTTTTCTTTTTCGAGACAGAGTTTCTCTGTGTAGCTTTGCGCCTTTTTTGGAACTCACTCTGTAGCCCAGGTTGGCCTCGAACTCACAGAGATCCACCTGCCTCTGCCTCCCGAGTGCTGGGATTAAAGGCGTGCGCCACCACTGCCCGGCCCCTCTTTCCTTTTTTTGAAACAGGGTCTTACTCTGTACCCCAGGCTGGCTTTGAACTCTTAGAGATCTTCCTGGTCTAACCTCCTGAGTGCTGGGGTTGCAGGCATTCATTTTCTTTTTTCTTTCCCCTCCCCTACTAAGCCTGTTTGACTTTTTCTTGAGAGTAGTCCAGACTGGGCTTAAGTGTATGGCAATCCTCCTGCCTCAGCCTCTCTAGGGATGGATTTCTAGCTGTGTGCTGCTACTCCTCTCAGCTTCAGGATTCTTCCCATATGTGTTTCTCACCCTCATTTCAGGACTCTGAGCACCCAGTGAAGCTGTGGGTCTCCTTTCATTGTTTGTTGTGGAGTGAGGAGCCACTGCCAAACAACACCTCGGAGCTGAGTGAGGCAGGAGAATAGCCCACTTGAAAATATCACCTGGCCGGGTGGTGGTGGTGGTGGTGGTGGTGGCGGGGGGGGGGGGGGGGCGGCGGCGGCGGCTCACGCCTTTAATTCCAGCACTCAGGAGGCAGGGCCAGGCGGATTTCTGTGAGTTCGAGGCCAGCCTGGACTACTAAGTGAGCTCCATACTAAGTGAGCTCCAGGAAAGGTGCAAAGCTACACAGAGAAACCCTGTCTTGAAAAGAAAGAAAAAAAAAAAGGAAGAAAATATCACTTGCTTGGAGCTCAAGGCTGACTTCCATGGAGAGAAAAAAATAGCAGTATATAGGAAGATGCATGATAGCCACCCCACTGCTGCCCTCAAAAAGACTGTTTTTGTGTAGCCCTGGCTGTTCTGGAACTAACTGTCAGGCTGGCCTTGAACTCACAGAGACCCACCAGCCTCTGCTTCCTGAGTGCTGGGATTAAAAGTGTATGTGGCCTTGCCTGTCTCATTGAATGTGTATTGGTGTTTGCCTGTATGTAGGTCTGTGCACCATGTGCATGCAGTTCCTGCAGAGGCCAGAAGAGGGCGTCAGATCGATCCCCTGGGACTGGAGTGACAGGCAGTTCTGTGTGTTGCCATGTGGGTGCTGGGAATCAAACTTGGGTCCTCAGCAAGAGCTGCTGGAGCACCTAACCATGTCTCCAGCCCCCAGCTCTTCTTATTTTACGTCAGCATCTGGAAAGCGGAGGCAGGAGGATCAGAAGTTCAAGGTCTTCCTCAGCTATATAGCAAATTTGCTCCATGAGACCATGTCTAGTGCTTCCGATGGGATCCAGGTCTCAGGCATGCTAGGCAGGTGCTCCACCACTGAGTCCCCCCATCCACGTGATATTCATGTTGCTTTTCAAACTTAACAAAAACCAGTTCCTGCTTCAGTAGCAGGAGGGAGCTTCTCATAGGTAAACCCCATGCTTATTATCAGGAACAGCTGCAGAGATCCTCTTTGGCTGGCAATGAGTTTGTACTGAGAGGATGTGCGTGCTTGGGTCGATGCAGAGCTGTTCTAGGTAGAACTGGTCTTACACTCTCTTCTTCACTGGTGGCCTCTACAGTTCCTACCTCCACCCATGACCAGGCCAGGCAGAATGTAGGTCCTTTGTAATACACTTGTGGGACACGGACTTCAGGGTTGTCTGGGGCACAGGCTCACCCTGAGCTTCAGGTTGCATAACATGCCATATTTGCAGCTCATCCTCCAGCTGCTCTTGTGACCTGCTGAGAACCTGAAGGGTCATTGTGTGTGTGCATGGGTTCCTTACATCAGGCATTGCTCCATGTCTTAGTTGCCTACTTCAAACTGCATCAGTGCTAAGTACTGTGGTGAGCTCTGACTTCATGGGAATTACAGGTTATGGCGGAGAAACTGAGAGGAAGCTAGAAAAAGAATAAAGCCAGTAATCTCACATTGTGTCTATCCCAGGGTAACATGGCAGTGAGGGACTGGGAAGGTGGGATTTTCTCAGTGTGACTCGACTGTGACAGCTGTGTTGGAGCTGAGGCCTGCATGCTGCGGTGAGCCAGTCACCAAAGAGTCAGAGAAGGACCAACAAAACCCAGTGCATGTGCCAAGTCCTGATGTAGAGTCAGCCTGACAGCCGGGGAGCAAGGGCTGGTCTGGCTGCTGTGCGGACGAGTGTAAGCACCGAGGGCCTTTGGCCTTGGTCTGGAGGTAGCACTTACCTTTGGGGCTCTGTGTTGGCCCTTTGTGTGCTCTCAGTCCATTTGTTTCTAAAGTGCTGGGTGCCCTCAAGAGCAGGGGGGTGGGAAAGGGGGGGTCTTTCCGGGTCCTCAAGTATTTGTTGTTTGTTCTGACCTCACATTGTACAAGACTGTCATGTCGTACCTCCAGAATGTGCCCCTACATCCAGTGTGTACCCCCAGTTTTGCTGTGTGTTCCACCTCTTACTCCATCGTTAATGCTACCAGGCATCCCCCCAAACCAGAGATCCTGAGCTGTGGCTTACTGAGGCCCGGGTGGTTCTGTGGACCTTGTGATTGTTGCCAGAGCACAGATCTGCTAGAGGACCCCACAGGCCAGCCCCAACCCCCTTTTCCTCCCACAGGCTCAGTGATAGGGATGAGCTCTTAGCGCACCTGGGCAGCTGCAGAGGCGGCTGAGAGTAGGGTGGTCACCACCCAGACTCTGGGGTTCTGGCCAGGAAAGTGTCAGGCGTGGTTTACACCCCCTCTACTGGAGCCTTCATGAGAGCCCCGTCTTGAGAGTGGGCACCTTGCCAGGGCACAGAAGGTCCTGTCAACATCTCACACAAGTCCTTCCTTGGCCACGTTGTGTGGAGCTGTGTGTGCTGATCAGGGTTCATGAGAAGAAGGAGCCAAAGGGTTGAGGGATGGTCTCAAGTGCTTGGACCAGGGCTCTGAGCTCAGGCTTTGGAGCCCCGGCATACTACAGCCTCACTGGCACCAGTGTGCCCTGTTTTTGAGCCGTGTTTGCCTGCAGTGTGTGGCCGCGTGAGCGCCGCTGTATTTACCTGAGGTTGCCTGTGGATGCTGGGCTGGGGTGCACACAGGCCCCAGCTCAGCCCTTTTTCCTCTCCCGAAAGGCTGTGGTGCCCTCTAAGGTGAAGGGGACAGTAGACTGCCTGGTCTCTGTAGTCCCTCTTCAGACCCTGAATTAACGCTTCAGTGGCTTCATGTGGCCAGTCACAGAACCCTGTGTGTGCCGCTGGGAGTGGGACCAGCGTCTCCCACACTGCAGTCCCAGCCCCCACCATCAGGACAGTCGTTGGTGTGTCCTGTGGGTAGTTCCCCCCGCCCCCATCCCTCTTTGCTGCCTGGCCTTTAGCAGCCTTCTTTCTGTTGGTGCCAAGCTCCTTCCTGCTCCAGGAAAGCAGGGTGTGGTGGGCTGGGCCTGGACTCTGGAGCCTGCCTGGGCTCTGACCTTCGCCTTGGGGGTTTTGTGACCCTGGGTAGTTTTCTCAATAGCTGTCTGTCTTGAGGAGCCACAGCAGCTCCTGACCCCACCTGCTCAGGAGTAAGGGAGTTAAGTGCCTGGACATGCTCTGCAGAGCCAGCTCAGCACCTCCCTCCTGCCACCTCCAAGTCACACCCTGGCCTGGCAGTGCTTCACTTGAACTCTGCCTCGGGGCTTTCCCAAACTCCTCCTTTGTGACACCAAGGCCAAGCGCATACCAGCTCCCTGACCCTGCCTCCAGGGCATTAGTCACTCCTGTGAGCTGCTGAGCTGCAGGGCCCGGTAGGTTTTTACCACCTTGTGCCACCTATGTGTTCCATATCTGTGCCAGGTAGAAGAGCATATGGGGACCATCTGGACTAAAGAGCCAGCAGAGCCCGGCCAGCTCTGGGCTTTGCTGTCCTCAGCATTCCAAAGCTGGGGTAGGGACTAGTCAGATGGGTGATGGCTTCTTGTTCCTCCCTTTTCAGAGCATGTGCTGGTTCATGGGCACCATGCCAGTTCTTCATGTGATGTGCCAGTCTCCGGTCCCAGAGCCATGGGGAAGATGAGGTAGCCCTTTGGGTTTGATTGGGGAAGCCCAGTTCAATGGATACGAAGTACAAGGATGATTTATTTCGGAAGTACGTGCAGTTCCATGAGAGCAAAGTGGACACCACCCCCGGCAAGCAGCAGCCTGGCAGCGATGAGTACCTGCGGGTGGCAGCTGCCACCCTGCTCAGCCTGCACAAAGTGGACCCCTTGCATCGATTTCGGCTGATCCAGTTTTATGAAGTGGTGGAGAGCTCCCTCCGCTCACTGAGCAGCTCCAGCCTGAGCGCTCTGCACTGCGCCTTCAGCATGCTAGAGACGGTGGCCATCAACCTCTTCCTGTTCCCCTGGAAGAAGGAATTCCGCAGCATCAAGGTGAGGTGGGGTGGCCAACTGCCTGCTGCTCCCTCCTGAGTGTACGGGCCCTGTTCTCATCCCATGGGCTCCAAGCATCTGGGAGCTGGTGTGGACCAAAGCCCCAGGTGGGGGTGGAGGGTTGAAAGAAGAGTCTGCACTTTCCATAGCAGGGGAACAGGGCGAGTAGAGACTGCCCACGCCAGGCTGGAACTGTGGCATGTTGCATGTGTGTGTTTGTCTGTTGTAGTGGGAATTAAACCTATGGTGCATGCTGTCTCCCAAGCTATATCCCCAGCCTAGTGTGTTCTTAAAACTTTGGCAAAGGCCTGAAAGGGGCATTCTTTGGGCTTAGTGTCACACCCCTGTAATGTTATCTCCTGTGCTCCCTCATGGAACAGAGCCTTCATGCCTACACAGAAAGCTGATGGCCTTGTTGGCCTCATAGGGGCCACATGTGTCCCTTGCTTGGTGGGCATTTAGCATGCTCTTGCTTCTGGTCTACAGGCAGAAACTCCCCATCCCTCTCCCTGCTGGTCCCGCTATGCACTTGGTTTGAACAGGCTTCTCTGTAGCATGCTTCTTTTGTTTTTTTGTTTTTTTTTTGCCCACTTTCTCCCTAGACCTACACAGGCCCTTTTGTTTACTATGTCAAGTCCACATTGCTGGAGAAGGACATCCGAGCCATTCTGAGGTTCATGGGCTATGAGCCCGAGTTGGGAACTGCGTACAAACTCAAGGAACTTGTGGAGTCCCTCCAGGTGAAGATGGTCTCCTTTGAGCTCTTCCTGGCAAAGGTCGAGTGTGAGCAGATGCTGGGGATCCACTCGCAGGTGAAGGACAAGGGCTACTCGGAGCTGGACGTGGTGACTGAGCGGAAGAGCAGCCCAGAGGACGTGCATGGGTGCTCAGATGCTTTGCGGCGACGGGCTGAGAGTCGGGAGCACCTGACCACTTCCATAACGCGTGTGGCACTCCAGAAGTCAGCCAGTGAGCGGGCAGCCAAGGACTACTACAAGCCCCGAGTGACCAAACCCTCCAGGTCGGTGGATGCCTACGACAGCTACTGGGAGAGCAGGAAGGTCCCCTCAAAGGCCTCCCTGAGTCTGCGAAAGGAGCCTTTGGCCATGGATGTAGGGGATGACCTGAAGGACGAGATCATCCGCCCATCCCCCTCCTTGCTGACCATGTCCAGCTCCCCCCATGGTAGCCCCGATGACCTTCCCTCCATCTCCCCCATGAACGGCCTTGGCCTTCTGCGCAGTACATACTTTTCCACTCAGGATGACGTGGACTTGTATACAGACTCGGAACCCAGGGCCTCCTACCGGAGGCAGGATGCTCTGCGGCCGGATGTATGGCTGGTCAAAAACGATGCCCACTCCATCTACCACAAGCGTTCACCCCCCACCAAAGAGTCTGCCCTCTCCAAGTGCCAAAACTGCGGCCTGTCCTGCAGCTCTTCCCTCTGCCAGCGCTGTGATAGTCTACTCGGCTGTCCTTCAGGCTCCAAGCCCAGCGCCTTCCTTAGCAAGGCCTCCGCTCACGACAGCCTGGTCCACGGGACACCTATGCGGGAGAAGTATATGGGCCAGACTCAGGGCCTGGACCGGCTGCCACCTGTCCACTCAAAGCCCAAGCCGTCTGCCACAGGCACCTCCCGCTGTGGCTTTTGTAACCGTGTGGGTGCCACCAACACCTGCACCCAGTGTTCAAAAGTCTCCTGTGACGCCTGCCTTGGCGCTTACCACTACGACCCCTGCTGCAGGAAGAGCGAGCTGCACAAGTTCATGCCCAACAACCAGCTGAACTACAAATCCACTCAGTTCTCCCATCTCGTGTACAGATAGGCCCCACCCCCATCTTCCGCTATAAGGGCTACACCACTGACCTGGCTTGGTCCCATCAAGAGGTAGCAGAGCAGCATCAGAAGTGGAGACCTGAGCTTGACCGTGGAAGCAGCCGGGGCCACTGCTCCTTCACACTGGAGTTCACTGAGCACTTCACCCCCCACCAGCGGCTGCTGTCTGCTCTGAGGGACAGGGTGGCACTTCATCCAGTCATTTCACTGACCTCTCCACTCCCTGCTCAGCTGGTTTGGGTTTGGGTTTGGGTTCTGGTTCCTTTGAAAGAAGGTCTCTGTCTCTGGGACTCTTGCCACACCTACCCCTCCTTCTGCAAAGCCAGCTTGGACTGGGAAGGATCCTTCGGGTCACTTTCAAATGCCCACCAGGAGTGGCGGGCGAGCTGGAGGCCTGCTGGCTTGTGAAATGAGCCCTCCTGCCATATGGGGCCTCTCTGATGGCTCGCCTCTTCCTGCTCCCAATACAACAAGGATCCCTAGGCAGATGTCCCCGCCCCCTCCCTCCCCCAACTGCTATCAAAGGGGAGCCAAGTCCAGTATTAGCTGAATGCCATCTTGCCAGCTCCACTCAATCAGCCCACAGTGTTGGCGAGCTCTGCTCAGCAGTTGGAAAGTGGACTCCACAACAGGACTGATGTCCCTTCCTGTTTGCACCCTACTGTACTGTATATACAGAGTTTGAGGTTTATTTTTAAGTGAGTATTCATTCAACTTGCTGTGTGTTTCAACATGGTGAAAGAAATTAATGATATGGTAATTATAAAGGTGCCCTGAGTCCTTTAGTCTTCCAGGGGGGTGCTCATGCCCTTTCCCGGGGTGGTCTCCACTTGCTAGGGTGGAGCTGAGAGCCTCGGGGTAGGGGACTGACAAAGCCCATGTTCCTCCTCGTGTGAGTAGAGAGCTGCTGCCCTTCCCTACAGTAAAATTCGACACCTACCTCCAGTGTGCACGCGGGGTTAGCATGGTGCCGAGGTCTGCAGTGACCCCAGTGACAAGTTGGAGACCTCAGCCCTCACATCTACAGCTCTGGTCTTGGTGCCTGCTGAGCATGAATCTTGTACCCCAGACCTTGAGTTCATTTCAGAAGGAAATTCAGGTGGGGTTCCCTCTACGCCCATCTAAGCCTTCCTCACTGGTTCCCAGGGCTCTGTCTTTTTGCACTAGGGTGGGTAGAGGTGTTGTGTGCCCATCGGACAAATGCTTCTCCAGTACTCAGCTGAGTGTCCACGATTCCTTGTATAAATAATCCACCTCTGGATTTTCCTTTTTGGGGAGCAGAGCCAGGAGAAGGACAGGAATTTGAAACTCACTTTCTTGTGAACTGGTAACACACTTTAGCCATAGACAGCTGTGATGTCTGCTGTGTGGGATCTACGTGCTAGTGGGGTTTTCCCAAAGGCATTCAGCTCTGGAGCAGGCTGACTCTGGCCACACCCTGAGCCACTGTGAATTTGCTGGTGTTCTTCCGATTTACTGGAGTGATTTTAAGGTTTTCCAATCTTATACGGCTCTTTTTTATCTCTAGCTATAGATGACATGTAGATAAGTGTATATACAGCTAAATTTGAGCAATCTTATTACTGAGACTAGCCTCCCTGGGCTGCGGTCCTTGATGGTCCTTCTACACTGGCCAGCACTGCCTGGTCCACTCCTGAGAGCTCTAGTTTTCCATTCCAGTTGGCTTCAGCATTGCAGGGACTCTTAGATGGAGGCCAGGTTACTGGAGTTAGTCCCGAGTGCTTTCCACCAGGAAATATTGGGTGTGCAGACTGGCACGCCCCCATCCCCACCCCCAGGTGTGTCTCACTGTAGGAGATTGCTGTGATCCGGACAGTAGAGTATATGCTAATTTAAAAATGCACATATTTTGCATTTGATTTCTACAGAGTTGAAATGTTCAGAGAAGATTTTAAAAAACTAACTAAATAAAGTGTCTTCCATTGTTAAACAAGTGTTTATGGTGTTCCAGCCCCTTCTGTGGCTTCCCTCTTTTGCAGCACACTCTGGCCTGTAAGCCATTGTTAGCACAAATGACAGGACCCAGGTACTGTCTGGGCATCTGGGGAAGATGGGAACCAGGCCCAGGGGGCAAGCTGCCCATTTCCCCAAAGTGGGCTGTGTCCTCTGGGAGAAATAACTGTTGGTGGCTGCAGACATTATTAAGAATCCTTCCCCTTTATTCCTGCCTCCAGATTTCTCTAATTAAAGGCATGTTTTACCATACCCGGCCAATGATTCCTTTTTCTTTTTAACTTAAAAACAAACAAACAAACAAAAAACCAAACAAACTTTACAGGTGGTGAGATATCACAATGGTTAAGAACACTGGCTGCTCTTCCAAGGACCCAGGTTCTATTCCCAGAACCCACATTGTGGCTCCAACCATTTCTAACTCCAGTACCAGGGGATCCAACACCCTTTCCTGGCCTCTGGTGCCGGCACCAGGTATGCACATGGTGTCCATACATACATACAGGCAGAACAACCATACACAAAATCTTAGAAATGATTTCATAGATATTTACTTTTGTTTCCATAAAGCTCAAGTTCCTCACATTTTGGGGGTGTGTGGGGTGCTGAAGTCAGGGCCAAGGGTATGCTAGACAAGTGCTGTGCCACTGAACCAGTGTGTCCCAGCCCAGACTGCTGTATCTTTAAATTGCCATCACCTTTGCTACCGAGGCTGCCCTGCAGAGCACAGGAGCCCCACTTGTTTTGTTTTTCCATTTGTGTGTGTGCGAGAGGGATGTGTATTCATGTTTGCATGTGTGCATGCATATGTGAAAGCCCTTGGCGGTGGTGGTGCACCCCTTTAATCCCAGCACTCAGGAGGCAGAGGCAGGCGGATCTCTGTGAGTTTTAGGCCAGCCTGGTCTACAGAGCTAGTCCAGGACAGAGAGCTAGTCCAAAGCTATCTCGGAAAAAAAAAAAAAAGAAAGAAGAAGGAGGAGGAGGAGGAGGAGGAGGAAGAAGAGGAAGAAGAAGAAGAAGGGAAGAAGAAGAAGAAGGAGGAGGAGGAGGAGGAGGAAGAAGAAGAAGGAAGAAGAAGAAGAAAGCCCTAGCTTGATTGCTCTTCCCCTTCAATGAGGCAGGGTGTCAGTCAGGCCCAGAACTCAGATGTGGTGACTGTCACATAAGCTAGTTTGACAGGCTTGCCGGGGTCTGAGCTTCGCTTAGTCCAGTCCTGCTGTCACGTTCTAGTCTCTTCATTTCCCAAAACTTGTTGCCTTTTCCTGATTCCTTCCTATTGGCAGGTGTTGCTCCAAGATGCCACTGTGGGCTGAGGACAGTGCCTTACAGTGGGCCAGCTTAGCACATGAGTGAGGCCTGGTCTAGTCCTGACACTCCGAGTCTCCACTGGCCGCCACATCAGGGCTGTGTGGGCAGGTGGAAGAGGGTGATGTGGGATTGCTGGGTCATGCAGGGGGTCCAGCTCTAACGAGTGTAAGTTAATGCAGTTTATGTGTGTAAGGCTTTTTTTTTTTTTTTTAAAGACTGGGTTTCTCTGTGTAGCCCTGGCTGTCCTGGAACCTGCTCTGTAGTCCAGGCTGGCCCCAAATTCACTGAGATCCACCTACCTCTGCCTCCCAAGTACTGGGATTAAAGGCGTGCGCCACCACAGCCTGGTTTAAAATTTTTATTTTTTTAATGTGTATGGGTATTTTGCTCGTGTGTATGTCTGTGTATTATGTGCATGCAGTGCCCATTGAGGCCAGAGGAGGGTGTGGAGTCCACATAGATGGTTGAGGACCAGATGTGCTGGGAATGGAACCCAGTTCTCTATGAGTGTAGCCAGTGTTCTTAACCACTGGCCCATCTCTAGCCCCATTTGGTAGGGTTGTTTGGTTGGTTTGGGTTTTTTGAGACAGGGTTTCTCTCTAGCCCTGGCTGTCCTGGAAACTTACTCTGTTGAGTGCTTTTCTTATGGAAACATCTGGAATGTGGTCAGATATTCTTTCTACATCAGTTGAAATGACCATGGTTTTATCTTCCCTTCTGCTAATATGGAGTGTTATGCATACATTCTGGCTCTGGCATCGCTCAGAACAAGAGCGAGTCAGAGACTCCTGTTTCAGGAGGAGGCATTGTGTGGTTGCGGTTCTGCCCTCTGGGAGTCAAGGCTATTAAGGCCTCTATTTCCTACTCAGCTGTCACTTCACTCACACTAACTTGCGGGCACTACAGTTCCGTTCTGTTTAGCAACCGGATCATTGCTACCACATCTACAAAAGGACCTCTCTATGGTGGTGGTGTGACTCTAGACACAGCACTGAAGGAACACACGCACCCCACCTAAACTTTTTTTTGGTTTTATAAGGATTTCACTCTAGTCATTGGTAACTGCTGTTTACCATAGAGCCCCGGCTGGTCTCAAACTTGAAGCAATCCTCCTACCTCAGCCTCCCAAATGCTTGGCTTTTAAGTACATACCACCATACCTTAGCTTCATGTGAAACTAAAATTGTTCTGGGGAGATGGCTCATTTGGTTAAATGTTTGCCTCCCAAGTATGAGAACCCGATTTGTTCCTCAGGACCCACATTAAAATGCCAGATGTGGGACTACAGCGATGTCTTCGTGGTGGAGTGCATGCTGCTCTTCCAGAGGACAGGAATTTTTTTCTTAGCATCCACTTTAGGTGGCTCACACCTACCTGTAATTCCAGTTCATGTGGCGCATGGCTTTAATTCTAGAACTCAGGAGCAGAGGCAGGTGGATCTTGAGTTTGAGGACAGCCAGGACTACAGTGAAACTCGGTCTAAAACAAACCAAAACGATGCTTTCTGCTCTGCCATCTTCATGAAGCCCCATCTTCCCTCTGGGCCTCAGAACAGCTGCAGCAGGTCCAGGTTATCTATCTATCTATCTATCTATCTATCTATCTATCTATCTATCTATCTATCTATCTATCCATCCATCCTGGAGCTGAGGACTGAACCCAGGGCCCTGCGCTTGCTAGGCAAGTGCTCTACCACTGAGCTAAATCCCCAACCCGCAGGTCCAGCTCCTCAAGGTACTGCTCTCTCTTGCCATGCTGGGTCAGAGGCCTTCCTCAACAAGTAAAGGGGCTGACAGGAGTGCTGACCAGGGAATGGGCCCAGCTCTCTTCAAAGCAGCTCAGAGCTGAAGGCCCAAGGAAGCAAAGGTGGAAACCATAGAGAACTCAAGTGGGTTTGCAGTATGGGTATCTTTTTTTTTTTTTTT